TGGGAAACTCTAAATTAATAAATAAGAAAGAATCAAAATGTAACTAATATCATGATTCATATTTTGGGAAAATCAAATATTCCTTTTAATAAAATGAAATATGTAGAGCAATGAAATTTAATAGCACAAGTTCGTTGTTATTGACCGGACATGATAAAAGTATAAAGATACATGCATTTTAAAATGGGTGTTTACATAGAATTTGTGAATTATATCACAGTAAGAATGGATTGATATACTTGAGTTGCAAAAACGACACAAATCTAATTTCTGGTTGCGAAAAAATGATTAAAATGAGATCTTTAATTGGTGTAAACAATCAAAAAATTCAAATGAAAATTTATGCAAATAACAACTTCTTTACTTGCTTTGCTATAAGTGAAAAAAATAATTTACTTGTGGCAGGACCTGTAAAAACTTATTTATTTTTGGGAAGAAAATGGTGGAAGTGAAGTTATACTAGATTTAAAACAAATTGATGAAATTGATTGGGTTTTCAGTCTAAGTTTTAATGAGTCTTAAAATAAGTTAATCGCATGTAATGGAAATAATACCATAGCAATAATTTAATAATAAAGTGATAATATAGAATAGTGGAAAATTGCTTAAATAATAGAGATAAATAATTTTGGAACATAAGCAATCTTTTTTGGGGATGATACTTTTGTTGTTCATCAATGGATGAGTAAGATAATGTAAGTTTACAAATTTTGTGAAGAAAATTATGTATTCAAATTATCTAATTCATTTCTTATGGAAGGGGAAGGTTAATAATGTAATTCTTTTCTATCAATAAACATAAAGTAGAGGAGATTGTTTCTTAAATAAGATAACAATAGGATTTGTTTTTTTCGAATTGATAAAAATTAAGAGCTGCAAATCTTTTAGAAGATTAAATTTTAGGGAAACTTCATTTTTGGAACTATGAGTAATGACGGATAATGGTTAATCATATGGGAAGAATTTTCAAAGTAAATGATTGTCATATCTTGTATTATTTAAAATGAGGATTGAAATCTATTATTTCAATTGATTCGAATCAATTTTTGCATTTCATAAAAAATAATTATTTCAAATATAAATTAGGTCAATCATTGAAAAAAAAACTCATGCTTTAAAATTGGAATTGAACATTGGATAATTAAAAAAATCTCTGTTATTGTTAATGTTATATATTTGCATTTCATAATTTGAATTATTGAATTATTATATTCTTAATTTAATGCATAGATTATATTTCATAATTTAATCTTTATTTTTATAATTCCCTATTTTAAAAATACAATTAATTCATAATTAAAAATATAGATTGTAAATTGATAATTAATCTTTATTCAAAAATTACCTTTTTCAAGACA